GGGCTAAATCTACATCTTCGAATTGGAGACTTGTTACAAAAATTTGGCGTAGGATTGGTTATAACAAATAATAAAACAATATTAATTCTTTTAATTTCTATATATTCTAGTCGACGGCAAGAGAAAAAGTTTAAAAGCAACCTCATGTTGCAAATATATCATCTTCGCGCAAAAAATTATTTAAATTTTAGCACGAATTAAATTATGTGAGTCACATAAGAGGAAAGCTCTTACTTACCTTACACCAGTGGTTCTTAACATTTTCAAAGTCACGGAACACTTTTGATCATAAGGAAAATTTGCGAAACACCAAAATCACTAAGGTTATCAAACTAACAACGTAATGCAAGTTGCATCTTGTCCACGTTATAAATTGCGCACTGCGCATTTACACTACATTTCGTTCATGCGTACTTACTTTCCTAGCTAGTACACAGCATCTTCAGAATTTCACGGAACATTTGTAACAAGATCGCGGAACACTAGTGTTCCGCGGAATATCAGTTAAGAACCACTGCCTTACGCTATCGTTCCTACTGTCGCATGTGTTCGTGCGTCTTATTATAAAATTCACCTTCACTGTAGATGTTTTGCACTCATGTCACGTGCGACTTTCTTGTTTTCCTGCATGTACCTATACAGGGTATTCGGCCACTCTTGGGAAAAATTTTAAGGGGTGATTCAAGAAGCCAAAATACGACGAAAGTCAAGAATAAAAAAAATTGTATTTGAGATTTTGTGTTTAGTTATTAATAATGAAAAATATCCCTGTGACCGAGCAGATCTCCTTACACCAATAAATGTAGGATACATCGTGACACGGGGGGGGGGGGGGGGCAAAACGTTCATGCGTACTTACTTTCCTAGCTAGTACACAGCATCTTCAGAATTTCACGGAACATTTGTAACAAGATCGCGGAACACTAGTGTTAAGAACCACTGCCTTACGATATCGTTCCTACTGTCGCATGTGTTCGTGCGTCTTATTATAAAATTCACCTTCACTGTAGATGTTTTGCACTCATGTCGCGTGCGACTTTCTTGTTTTCCTGCATGTACCTATACAGGGTATTCGGCCACTCTTGGGAAAAATTTTAAGGGGTGATTCAAGAAGCCAAAATACGACGAAAGTCAAGAATAAAAAAAATTGTATTTGAGATTTTGTGTTTAGTTATTAATAATGAAAAATATCCCTGTGACCGAGCAGATCTCCTTACACCAATAAATGTAGGATACATCGTGACACGGGGGGGGGGGGAGGTACAACAATCCTCAGGACCAACAACAAATGGCCAGCAGCTTACCTCGTACAAGTTATGGAGAAAATGACAGTGACATATATTCGGCACCGTAAACGGAATTACCTCTGCGACACTATCGTTTCCTTCACCATTACGTGTCGGACGGTCCTTCAAATGTATATTCCTTTATGTATTGCAAACACAACGTACACTGTACACGCAACAAATACAATATACCCAACTATTGAAAAATAATCACGATACACTACAATATTTACATACACACGCGTACACACGAAATGAAAACTTAAAAAGGCAAAGAAAACTTGAAGAATTAAAGGAAAATAAATTACACCTACACTCGAAGTACACTAAAATATAATAAATTGAATTTAACCGATTATACCAAACTAAAACAAATTACAATAAGGCTTGATTCACACTAGGCGTCGCGGTACGGTCAGATCACGTCAAGTCAGGTCAATATCGCTCACACGTAATCCAATGAGAGCATTCGTAGTACGCGATTCGGTCAAGTCCAATGAAAATCTGTGACCTAGGAGACGATTTGCTAGCGATCAAGGTCGTGGCATTCTTGACCGGATTTGATTTGATTTGATTGACAGTCGAAAAAAAGCACGGATGATGAACATTTGGTTGTTCCTTCCTCGATTGAACGAACAAAATTGAAAGAGACTGCGACGGGAGTGGATTGTTTCTGATCGTTGAGTGTGAATGCCTTGGTAAAATCCTGGATTGTAACTGATCGTAATATCACCGTACCTTTTCTGTCCTTTTAGAAGGACAGAATCATTTCGACAACGAAAGCGAAACTTTTGAAGAGCTATTCGACGTGATAAGCGAACATAGCACTTATTTTCACCTCTTTCCTCTAATTATACATTACTTTATAGTCATAAAGTAATAAGTTAATTAGATTTAGTTTGCTATAGTCAGTTAAGTTTAATTTATTAGATTTCACTGTGTTTTTAATATACAGTCGGTCACAAAAATATTCGGACACTAGTATAGTTTCGAGTATTGTGCTCTGCATATTAAAGTAAATATACAATAAATAAAAAAAGCGTTATGCTACGTTGTATTACAGTTTCTAGATAACAAAAATATAAGAACTATTTATTTTGTACATATATGTGTTTGTTTAACAGCTAATTCTAAAATCACAAAAATATTCGGACACTAGGTATATTTCAAGATATTCCAATTTCCAGAAAGTGAAACAAGCAATGTTTGTAAACACAATGCTAAAAACCCGTTCAGAACATATACAGATAATATCAGTGCTGAGCATTCTCAGTCTTGAATTTTGTACAAAATGGGTCGCAAAAATAAAAATACATCTTTCAATATGCGATAATTAGTGATCTTTCACCGGGAAAAAGGAAAATCATTTTGCGAATTTGCAAATTTATTAGGAATAGTGAAAATATACCGTGTCGGACATTGTGAACTGCTATAAAAATCAAGATAGGATTGACTTTATTCCACAAACCGGGCGTCCACGTGTTCTGGGTGCTCGTGATAGAAGTAGCATTATTAGAAAAATTAACAACGATCCACGAATAAGTGCTCCAAAATTGGCAATATTGTTAAGTGAAGAACATGGAATAACAGTTCACCCAGAAAATATACGAAGAGTGTTGCGAGCGGAGGGTTACAACGGGCGAATAGCTAGGAAAATGCCATACATAAATGCGGCAAATAGACGAAAAAGACTTGAATATGTAAATGAAAATACATTAAAAGAACCTGAGTGGTTATATTTGTCAATGAAGGCAAATTGAACATTTATGGTAGTGGTGGACGAGTAAGAGTTTGGAGAAAGCGAAAAGAAGAGTTAAATCCAAAACATTCACAGGCTACTGTAAAACACGGTGGCGTATTTCTAGCCACGGAGTGGGTGAATTGGTGATATTTTAGGCCAAAACAGATACTTAACCATTCTAAAAGATAATTTAATAAAAAGTGCTCGTAACATGGGAATTGGACAACGGTTTAAATAGTATCAAGACAACGACCCGAAGCATAATGCACGGATTGTGTAGGAATTTTAATTATATCACTGCAGAAACATCTTGCAACCACCTCCACAGTCACCCGACTTCAAACTCCATTGAAATCTTATGAGATGAATTGAACCAAAACACTAAAAAAACTACTATAAATTCAAAAGATGAATTTAAAAAACGTTTGGCAGCGTATCGACATTAATTACTTAAGAAAAGTTATATTTTACATGCTAACACGCTTATAACATGTTCTGTAGCAAAAAGAACATCCCACAAAATATTGATCTTAAGTTAATAGTTGTTCTTTTATCTTTATACGCTTTATTTATACAGCGTCCGAATATTTTTGTAACCCCAGAATTAGCTGTTATTTCAATTCGCTTTTATTATATGTGCACAAAATAAATAGTTTCTGTATTTTTGTTAATTAGAATCTGTAATACAACGTAGCATAACACTTTTTTTTCGTATATTGTATATTTACTTGCAGATAGTACTGTTTGAGGCTTCCGGGTGTAAGCCGTGTCCAAAAGAAAGCTAGTTTCGACGCGACGTTTCGCCAGCATTGCTTCGTCAGGGTCTAAAGACGTACTGATACTATTTAACGTTGCCATGAGCCACAATTTCCGGCCTATAACTGTAATAAATCTGAAGATTCTTACATCTTTCGATGGTTGTCGCTTGTTTCTGCATCAACCAATTCCGATGAAATTTTCAGCATGTACTTATATAATTGACATAAATCTACGAAACGTATGCTTCAAATATTCACTACAAACTCAGATAAAAAAGTTGTAAAAGATGACCTTTACAAATTTCTTCACGATTTTTTCAAATTTTTTTGTATCATTCTAACTTCTTAAAAAGCCTCAAGTAGTGTGATCCAATTTAAAAAAAGTTATACTATTCTAAAGAGTGTCCGAATATTAATAGGCGTAACTGTATACAAGGTAAACTTCCGGCTATGTGTTGTTGGTTTTGAAGACCACTGTAGTCCCCGTATTATGATGTGAAATACATTAGTTGTTATAGGAAGGCCTGTATAATCGCCCCTTAAATTTTCTGCCAGCAGGTGTCGAACACCTTGTATATGCAGGGTTGGTGCAATGTAATTATACTAGGTGGTCCGGTGCTTTTCGGCAAACTACAGGAAAATAATCTAGAAATGAAAATAAGAAAAATATGTTGCACGAAGTTCGGCTGCAAACGCTTTATTATAAAGGTATAAGGAAATTTTGAGCGCAGTATAAAATGGATAGCAACGGATTTTGCATTTGTAGAATATTGAAGATCGATCGTGTTTACTGTATTTGTATTTAGATGATATTTCTTGTCTTGAGACGATTTAACATGACTGACAGTTAGTAATCAGTCACAGCAATTGGCTTTCAGTCATCCTGTAATATTTCATGTTGCGTTCAATATTTGCTTATAACTTTGTAATAAAGCGTTTACAGCCGCACTTTATGTAGCATCCTCTTTTTATTTTCACTTGTAGATTATGTTCCTGCAGTTTGCCGACAAAAACCGGAAACACGCTGCATATTATATTTACAAAACTGTTCAATCGAATGATAATCAAAAGATAGTGAATTACGAGATTTCGTTAGTGTCTCAAGGTACAAGACCAAATAAGTTTTTACATGTAATAATGTACGAATATATTCGAAGCCGCGATTGTCCATGCTAATACATTAAAAGCATTTTAGCTGAATAACAACATACATACGTGAAAAATAACATTTGTTCGATGGCGCATCTCCATACGTGGCGGCAGTTCGATCCCGTGGGACATTTAAATCCAACAGTGTGCTTTTTCTGAAAATTGTGGGGAAAACATTGCGCTAAGACGACTACTCTATATCCATTAATTTCGACGGCTACAGCTACGTTTTATTTTACCGCATAATTGCGTGAGAAATAAAATCCTTTAAAAAATTACCGACATCCTTATCAAATACTAATATCTTTCGAAATGACTCAAATCTTTTAAGCAAGTATTTTAAATGGGACACTATGTCATTATCTTACGTAGAGTATTTATGGAATTAAGTAAAAAAGTAATTGTATCATTACTCCACCAAGCACATTCAATTAATATTAATAATAAGACAATAAAACAATTAGTTAATATTTTGTTATATATATTTCTTCGGTACTATTTAAAAGTCTGTTATATCTGCTATATGCACATTCCAAATACTTTTATCGCAAGGACGGTGGCTTTGTTAATGTTTTATTCTCTAGGACCTCTAAGTGTATAAAATAATAAAGCTGATATACGCAATGATAACACAATCAAGAGTGTTTGAAAAAATAAACGGTCATTAAATACGGTTCCATCCCAATGTCTATGCGATAACGTAGAACATATTAACCCCTTAACGCGCATACTTGAATTCATTCAAGGGCGATAATAGTAGAAATGTACAAACTCAGGTTAACTCGAGCCGCGTCGCATTTTATGCTACCATAATGTGCATACTCGAATAAACTCGAGCAACGAAAAATAATCTTAAGAAAGTCATTATTACATAAGAAAAGAATTATTATTTTAGTATATGCATAATTTAACTTAACTTTTAATCATTTTTGTATTGCGCGGTATGCTGCGCACGAGGCAATAAAGAAAAAAGAAGAAGATAAGAATTTCGTTACTGTTGTAATTCTTGTAATGCTGAATTATGTGCTGCACCTTGTTTTGAAATTTATCACACACAAGAAAATTCTTAATTTTTTTTTTTGTTTAGAACTATTGTAGTTATTGTACCTACATTTTACGCACATACAGTAAATTGAAGAAATAAAATTAATGTTTTTGATTAAATATCTTATTTTTTGTCCTAATATGTAAGTGTAAGTATTACACAAAAATATGCTCAAATAAAGATTTTCATGGATAAAAAAAATTGATTTCTTTTTTAAGTGTGCGTTAAGGGCTTAAATATGCTGGTAAATGTAAAAAAGGAATCAAGACAATATTGAGGTTACCGATTTAAAAGACTTCAAACGATTCCGTCGTTTCATCGAGACAACTAAACACGACACATCTTTATTTACCGCGTTTTAGCAATAATGGCACAGCAATTTTGTCCTCTTGCAGATTAATGAGCGAATTATCGTTAGTAATAATTCAACCGTCGCGTTTCACGAGGATAATTAGTTGCACGATTAATTTTCAACAAAGTAAAAAATGCAAACAATCCGTGGAACTGCTACGAAACGACTCACCTTCGTCCTCACGTCCTGAACAAGCCCAGCAGTGGAAAATAATAAGATTAGTTGGACTCGTAACAATATCGAACACACAATACATATAAAGCTTCAGCATGAGAGTCTCGTGTATGAGAATCTCTCGCATAATGCTAAAGTGGATAGAATAAATGAAGCGTGTCTGATGAGAGAAGGTTGAAACATGTGCTGCTTTATTTACACCGATAAACAGATTAATCATATTCAAAACAATTTAACTGGTATAGCTATTTTCTAAGTTTTTTTCTTTTAAGAGCACTATTTAACATGTTTCTTCTTAGACATTTTCTATGCGGGGAAAAAGCTAATTTTACTAACAATTCTAAGTACATATAGTTTATAAAGTCATAAAACGTGTTTTAATTTATAATAAAAACGAGAACTTTCAACGACGATTCTACTTTTTTTTTACAATAATGAAATATCGAAAATTACTGCTTCAATGACTTGTTATTTTAAAGTTTGACTTAGATAGAATTACGATACATTTTTCTACTTTTTACACATTTGCATTTTGCATTCTAAAATTATCTGGTAGAAGTGTGAATTAATCAAAATATTAATAATAATTACATTAATGTCTTCTAATCTAAATCGAAAAGCGACATTCTTTTCTTGTGGCATTTCAAATAACGTTTAAGCAACAGAAAATAATGATGATTATTATTTACTCAATTCTATTTAGTAATTGCTTGTAACGATATTAAAAACCAAGTATCTATGCCACACTTTTTACCTTGCTTTTATGCAAATATAGCTGCACTTTAAACGATTTGAAGACTCGCTGGACTTAGAAATCCTATAAACTACGTTCTGTTACTGGGTCAAGGCTGATTTATTGATTACATTCACAAGAAACAGTTAAAAGCAATAACTGCGATTATTTCTTCTATTGTCCTTACTATATTCTCTGTTTTAACAAGCAAATTTAGTTTAATCGAGTTTGCTGTTATAGTCAGCAAAATGAAATTAACACTTACATGTGTATGCATTCATAGTAATTGTTTAATTAGTTACTGCATCTTCTTAATCACTACTGTATACGATACGATAATTTTATAGAATGTTACTCGTAAAACTTCGTACCAAGGAAAGTAAAAAGAATTTTTAAAGTAAATGAAATAATGTCATTTTCTAAGATACTTTTACAGAGTGCGTATTATCTTTTTATATAAGTTGTCTCGTAGTGCTTGAAACGGACTTGAAGTGATCTTCAAGTGTGTACTCATCCGAGTATTCAGTTCCGAATGAATAAGCACTGAACAAATATCGCATGAGCAAAAATTTAGTTAGTGAGGATGGCGAGCACAGCGCGATGCTAAATAATTAGCATGTGCTGAGCTGCTTCTCAGTCCATTCCGTAAACTATTAGTATATAGTACAGTGAATCTGCTCTATATTTCTCAGAATACACAAACATTAACATATATTTGACTTCTCCCGTTCGGTTCACTCTAATATGCGTAGATAAATAATATTACTTATTTATTTCACTTATCAGAGTAAGCAAATTAAGGCACTTGTAGATATCAGAAACAGAAATATAAGAAACGCAGAACTCACAGAATTCATGCCGTTTTTATGTGAAATGAGGGTTACTTCAATGATTCGACAACGATATATGTACAATAGAGTTATCGTTACAATTTATACTGTACCGTGTATATATTATATCATGTATCGTGTACATAGTTTGTAATTAGTATGTAGGATAAGTGCGTTCACGGAAACGCGGCTGCTCAGGTCAAAGAACCATAAAACTCTCGCGCTCGCTGCCGGATGTCGCCTCTTGGACGGGTCTAGCTGCGACAAGCAGGATAAAAATGAGCCTTTTTGACGTAAAAGGTCAGTCAGGATTTGGCTAGCTTTCGAGCAATATACGAAGCAGGCGATGCCACTAGCGTACCGGCATTTGATATCGCTTCAGATACCAAAAATCCTACTCATTAAACGCAGCGTTGAAAAAACCGAAACTCTCTAGTCGGTCGGTACTTCCGCGCTCCCTAAATACAATAAAGGAAGACATCTAAACACGGCACCTTTTTCCGTTCCCTTCTCATCCCGAAGAGGAAGACGTTGCCTCCATGGTTTACGGCACCTCTCCAATTCCTCCACTTCCACCGCTCCCAACGGCTAGACAAGTCGGCCCTTCTGGCGAACGCGCCTCCTACATACATACATACACTACCGGCCAAATGTTTGGAATCACTACGTAAATTAAGAGAAACAGGATATTTCTAAGAAAAATTGAACGCCTACAAAGTAATTGAGGAAGTTTTATTTGTCAAAATACTTATAAGTTTTTTCCATGCTTCTTGTAGTAGTTGCCAAAGGTGTCTTTTTGATGTTGGACAGTGCAACCGGATATTCCGATCGAGCTCTTCCCACAAAAATTCTATCGAGTTCAAATCCGGTGATTATGCTGGCCATGTCATATTCCTCAAGACCCGCTCTGTTTCTTTTTGCAATAAGAACTCTTTACACAATTTAGATGAGTGCTTAGAGTCGTTATCTTGCTGCATAATAAAATTTCTACCTATTAACCGGTGACCTGATGGTAGAGTGTATTTTCTATTTTGATTAGGTCTCCTACTCGAACCGTTGAGAAACATCCCGTGACCATAACTGAACCACCTCTGGCAATATTTTTTCTTGTACATATCGGCGAACACAATACGCTCTGGCAACATTTTTTCTTATACAGATCGGCGAACAAATATCCTTCGGTGCGACCCAAATATTTCGAATTTGGATTCGTCAGTCCAACGAACCTGACCCCAGTCCGTAGGTGTCCAATTTTTGTGACTTTTTGCCCAATCCAACCGCATTTTACAATTTTTCGACAAAAGCAATGGTTTCTTCACTTCTATACGGCCATTTAAACCTGCAGCTCTTAGTCGCCTTTTCACCGTGGTCAGAGATATTGGATTCGGTCTACTATCATTAAGTCCTACACGAATTTCCGAGGCCGTTAGTCGTCCGTTTCGTTTGCAAATAATATTTATTCTTACATCTTCAGCTCTCGACGTGATTTTGGGTCTTCCTGACAGTGGATTGTCTTTCAAACTACCAGTATCCGCAAAACGTTTTACTGTATCCTGCACGCCCTTGTATGACGCTTTCAATTTTCTTGCAATATTCCGCAAAGAATAACCTTCCTTTCTAAGTATGATAATTGCACTTCGAGTTTCAATACTAATTTCTATTCTTTTTGCCATTTTAAAGTATAAATGTAAAATTTTAGCTGCTGATCACGTTTCAACGCCTTCGTTCACAAGAATGGTGGCAATGTATAACAAATATCCGATTTATACATTTTCTCGGCCCCCGGACCAGCCAATTGGAATCTAATATTGTAACATTCGACGCTTATTGGTAAACAAAAGAATCGCGAATTCCTATATAAGGCGAAAACAGAGTATCTTTCCCGGCAGTAGAAAAGTTCATTCCGAGCGTTGCCGTAAACTGAGTGTATGAATTATATAATAGTATTATGGACATAAGAAAATGCTGAAATCTTTTAAAGTATAAATCAACTTGTTAACATCTGATATATTAACGATGGACCATTCCAAAATTTACCGGTATATTCGATTTTGATAGAAATCGGCAAGTGATTCCAAACTTTTGGCCGGTAGTGTATATACAGGGTGTCTATTTTATCTCAGTACGGTGAAGTATCGTTTAAGGAAGTGATATTAGGAAAAAAATATTTTAACAAAAGTTGTTTGGTAGGAGGGGGAAAATTATGTGGTATAAATACTTTTTTTTGTACCGGGTATGGTGGGGGAGATTTCAAAGTCAGTTTAATTTTTTTTAAATGGAATACTATAATTTTTAATACATAATATGATAGTGTATGTTAAGACGAGTCCAACAAGGTGCGAACAAAGTTATTTCCTTCGATAAAACAGACACGCAACAGTGAGGAACGTATGGTGATTCGGCTCTCGGTTTTTCGCAATTTTACGAACTTCCATGAAAGGAAATGACTTTGTTCGCACCTCGTTGAGCTCCTCTTAACATACACTATCATATTATGTATAAAACAATACAGCACACCATTTAAAAAAATTAAACTAACTTTGAAATCTCCCCCACCATACCCGGTATTAAAAAAATATTTATACCATATAATTTTCCCTCTTGTACCAAACAACTTTTGTTAAAACATTTTTTTCCTAACATCATGTTACGTACGCGTTCTACCCGAAACGTACGGCGCCGAATGTTTAGTCTAACACGCACCCCCCCGATAGTCGCCAAGCAAAGGGATGAGCCCGCATTCCATTCCCACGGAAATCTGACGTTCCCCAAAAATCTTAGTTTTCGGTGTATAAAAGGGCAGGATTTTCGACGATCGGGGGCAGTCTCTAATTCAGATTTTGAACATAACGTTACTCTGTCCGTCAGAGTATTG